ATGATTTTTTAAAATTTCTATTGTATTGTATTAAATTGTTTTAACTGGCTGTAAGCCGCCCTGAGTCCTACGGGAGAAGGGCGGGGTATAAATTTAATAAAATGAAATGAAATTTAATAAAATGAAAATGAAAACTTATTACTACAATTGGGAGTGGAATTTCACTTGATGAGCAAAGTAGTTGCTAAGCAAGACATCACATGCTTTGCTCAAAAGCCGCAATCCTGGCATACCTGGTTGTGGTCCTTACGCGAGAAATGCGTCTCATTAAATGGATGGAGTCCCAGGTAAAGGGCATGGGGTTCCTCAAGGGCTGAGGGAAGCTGTGCATAAGTTTGGGGGCTGCTTGCAATGAGGTACTAAGCATCAATCACCCCAGTACAGGCTAACAATGCAAACAAAGCTGCCAAACCCCCAGAAGCCTCAGCCATCACACAACCCAGCAGCACTTACAACTGCAAGGCTGCTACAACTGCCCCCATTCACGTATCTCTTCTCCTAATCTATGCCCCTTTGGCCACGCTGCTCAGTGACAGCAATGCTGGGGTGGGGGCTGAAGTAGAGGCCCCCACCTCTACTTGCAACGGTCTTGCATAGGCTGTGGGTGAGCTGTCAGCAGCTGGAGAAAAACTTGGAAGGTAAGTGGAACATTGCAGATCCTCTGAAATGCAGGGCAATAGAGGCAACTGGGGCTTTGTGAAATGGTGCTGAAGGGGTGCAGTGTGGGGCTTGAAGCAGCATTTCTCAGTGGCAGTGGCAGCCCTGGGGATGAAGCAGAGGCCTGGAGGCAACGGCAGAAGGCTGCTGAAGGTCTGGCCCTCTTCTGCTCCAGCTGAAGAGGACAAAGGGGCATAGATTGGGGAGAGATAGACAAGTGGGAGAGTTGCAGCAAGCCAGAGGTTGTAACTGCATGTGGGCTACCAAGTGCCCAAATTTTGATCATAGGACCACAAGTTGCTGAATGAACGAGTTGAGGACTACTTATAGTTCCATACCTGAAATAGTAAAATTGCAATAAAGTAGCATATCATTAATG